CGAGTGCTCACTGCAGCAGCACATATACTAAAGCTGCCTGAAATCCTTGGCACCTTATTTATGCTGACACCGTCCTACTCCGATTGGCATAATCCCCTCGATGATGTCCAGTTCTCTTTGCTTCCCCCAGCTGGGCTTCTCGACACCAATTCAAGATTGAAAACTCCTTCCAGACTCAAATTCATTTAAGCCTCCCGCCTCTGAGGTGACTCTGATTTCTTTTCCTCATTTTACATGATAATACACAGAGAGGCTTAGTAACTTGCTCAAGATCACAGAGTAAATGGGTGCTCTAACAGAGTTTGGACTCCAAAGGCTCACAGACTTAACCAGTCCACCTTTTGGCTTCCTAAAAGAAAGGCTTTAACATTCTGCATCTCTCTGGCTTGCTTTGGCCCCAGCCACTACAAACACTACTAATTTTTTGCATTTCATTTGCATGGTTCTGTCAAGAAAGAGGTGATCAGAATTCAGATTCAATCAGCCTATAATTCTACCAATCGGAAAGGCTGAAGCAGGAGGATGGCAAATTTGAGCCCAAACTGGGCTACTCAGAGACTTAGCAAGATCCTGCCTCAAAACAAAAACTACAAAGGGCTGAAGATGTAGCACATGCAAAGGCCCTGGATTCAGTCCCCAGTAACACATGCATACACATACACAAGAAAGAAAGAAAACTGTTTCAGCTTCAGCTGGAAAGGGAGTTTCACTGCGGGCAATTTGTTGTGTTTACAGTGTACACATCCAGAAGTCCAAGTGAACTGCTAATTAGGGAGCATGCTGAGGCTGACGCAGGCAGATGGGAGTTCAATAGAGGTTAGCAGGGTGGGTGAGCTCTAAAGGGGTGTGTGTGTGTGTGTGTGTGTGTGACAGTGGGATAGGGCCCAGCAGGTGAGCAGGTGACAGTTTCCCAGAAGGCCCTGGGCTACTTGCTAAATCCCGGCAGCTGGGCTGACCTCAGCTATGTACAACGCAGCCCCAGCTGCAGCGGGAGTGGCGGGTGACTTTTCGCTCGGGGAGTTCCATGGAGATTGCTCATGAAATCGGAGAAGTCTGCAGCCTATAACTGCCTCTGCCCCACTCAAAGAGAATATTTTGAGAGCTCTAATTATATGTTGGGCCTTGCATGGGATGAGGGAAGAGAGTTTAGATAAGCCCTTTCTAAAGGCCGGTTGGCAAGGGATGCTGGGGAGCCTTGGGCCGTGCTGTGGGGAGAGGGTGCCCCCTATAGGTTGACCAGAGTGGCTGCAGCCATGTTGTCCCTTTGAGTCTGGGTGGATGTGTCTCAGCCCCAGCCTGATGACACAGTAACTCCTCCAACGGTGGCTGCCATCACCAGTCCCAGCCCAGCCCATCATCACCACTGTTGGCATCCTGAACAGTGTGAAGATGCCACCCAGTGACCTAGCAGGAGGGAGATCGCATCTCTGAAAATGAGGGTGGGCAGGATAGGGGTTGCATCAGACAGAGATCTATGCCACCCAAGTGGCTACTGGACATTTGATTTGCCAGCTAAGTCTATTAGAAGGGACTGTGACAGCCCTTTTCTCTAGAAGCCCCAAGTGCCTAATTACAACTTCCTGCAAAAAGACAGCCCAGCCAGATCCCAGATGTTAGAAAATCTGACAGCATCAAAAGGCTCCTTGCAGTGATCACAGAAGGGCCCCCTTCTGCAGTGAATGAAAGAGAAAGGCTCTGTTGCCTGTCATGCTTCAGGCCCCAGCCTCTCTGCAGGGGTCCCCCGTTTTCTCCCTCACCGTAGATTGGGGTCCAGACCAGATGAAGGCCTCAGTGGTAGAGGCCAGTTGATCATCCTGTCCCCTTCTTCTTTCATTCCTGTCCACCAAGACTCTCTCATTCCTTCTTCTCTGGTCCCTGAAAGGACCAGAGGACCTCTTTGATGTACCCTAAAAGTCCTTTGCTGCTAACCACTACAGGAAATGAACAGGGGCTCCAAGGGCAGTGTTGCAAAAATAACAGACAAACAGTCTCTGCCACGTGTCAGGCTGGAGAGGAACAAGGGGGCCTGCACCCAGTTCCCCTCGCTGACTCAGCCCTCTTGCTTTTTCTTTTCTTGCTTTAGACAATACTGCCTTTTAAAATGGTGCTACTTTATGCACCATGGATTTTGCATTTTTTTTTTTACATACTGCATTAAAATGTTATCGGTCTTAATTGCCAAGTATCTTGGTCTGCAATTCTGTGTCCAAGACAAGCATCTCCTTTCCCTCCCCCAAGCCTGGGCCCCAAGTGAGCAGCCTCCACTTCTCTGAGCCTCTCCCCTCCTCCCAGCCCAGCCGCCCCAGCCCCTCCTGTAACAGCTACAAGGAAAAGGCTCGGCTCATCTGCCACTTCTGTTTGTTCCTTCATTCACCCAACCAACGCAGAGTGTATGAATTCACTCACTCGTTAAATATTTATTTTCTACCTGCTGTGTTGGCACCAGCCCCTGATGACACAGTAACAGGAGCTCATGCCTGTAATTTGGGACTGAGGAAGCCTGAGGCAAGAGGATCACAAGTTCAAGTCCTGCCTGGGCAACTTAGTGAGGTTCTGTCTCAAAATAAAATAAATAAATAGGGCAGAGGGCGGAATTCAGTGATAGAGCACCCCTGGGTTCAAACAGAACAACACAAGACAAGAGATCTTGACCTCTAGTATGGGAAGCTATAACAATAAAAATAGTCATAGAGAATTCAAAACAGATTGAAGATAGCAATAAACTTGACAAAGAAAATAAAATAGCGTGGCTGTATCCTTAAAATACTTCCAATCCAAGAAGATGGATATACAAATGGGTAATGGCTAATCCACGTAAAATGACATGCATGGCGCAGGTAGTGGATATTTTGCTGGGGTTGGTCAAAGGGGTGATCTCCTGAGGGAGGAGAAGTTTGGAGCTGAAGCGTCAAAGATGACAAATCAGCCATGTGAACGAGGAAAAGACACTCCAAATCTAAGGCTGTGGAGGTGAGGAACAAGGAGGGAGGCAGAGAAGCTGCATTACAGGGACAGGGGAGACTGCAGGGACCTGAAGGTCCCTGGAGGCCTCGGGGAGAGCTGGCGGTTGATGGGATGTGAAGAGAGAAAATAATCAAAGAGGACACTGAGTTTCCAACCTGGAGACGGGGTGGATGGTGGTATCTCAGCGCAGAAGTGTGAGCGCAGGTGGGATGTATAGTTTGGGGCAGGTTGGACTTTAAAAACCCTGGGGACACCCGAGAGAGATGCCCAAGGGGCAGCTGGATACAGGAGAGGGTCATCGAGAGACATGGAAGAGGCCAGTGGCTCACAAGTCAAAGGCAAATAAAATAAGAGGTAGAAGACCCCAGCATCCCACCACAGGGATCAATTCCAATGAATTGGCTTTCTTTCAGAGGCAAATAAATCTCCCAGGCAACAAAATCATGTGATATTTCCTCCATTAATATAAGCCTCCTGAACCTTCTTGGCCAGCAGAAAATCATCCAGGTTGCCCTAAATTACAAGACACTAAAATACAGTTGATTGCACAAAAGGCAGTAGATACATCATACAGGAATGCTTTTGGTTTTAATTTTTTAATTCTGGACTTGATTTCCAGCCCGGGGGGGGGGGGTCCTAAAGCAACATTCCCACTAAGGTAGCTCATCTTCTTATCAGAAGCCCACAATCTGGAGGGGTTTGTTTGGACAAAAAAAAAAAAAGGCCAAAAAAATGTCTAAAATGGGAATGGTTATTTCAATCCAAAAGAGTTGTTATGAGATGAGATTAAAAATTACTTTGGTAAACACATTCTTTTTTTTTTGTTTTTTTTTTTTTTGTACCAAGAATTGAACTTATGGCCTCACACTTACCAGACAGGTGCTGTGCCATGAGCCATATCCCTGGCCTTATAAATACATTTTTAAGTAAAGAGGTATAAACATCGAGCAGAAATTCTGGTGTAAAGCAGTATGTCATTCTCCGGACAAATGGCAATGAATTAGAAAGAAGAGGGTCTGACGACAAGGCTGCCTTGGAAAAAGAAGTCAGAGCAGGCCATGAAAACCTCTAAGCCCTTCAGCAGCTGTGCCTTTCTGAAATCCCAAAGTTTAGGGCGGAGGTACAGCCGCCCAGGAATTTATTATTCCCCCGTAACTCTGATCTGCTCAAATCCCTATGAAGCCCAGGAATGATGTGACTGCAGGCCTGTTGGCACCAAGAGCCTCTCCATAAATCAAAGTCTCACTTCTGTTAGCCTCTGATTGCTTTTTCCAAGGTGACCTGGGCAAAGTAAAGGGGTAGCTTATCTAGCGTGGCATCTGCCTTTGAGATAAAAGGACCCTGAAAATGCCAAGAGGACTAATTCTCTAGAATCATATCCATGCACTCTTCCTTCATCTCAAGGGGAATTAGAAGAGTGACAGTCTTCCCATGCCATCAGCCAGCTCCAGTGACTCAAGAGTCCCTCGAGGCAGACAGCAAGAGCCTGTTCCATTCTGGCTGGGTCACAGCAAGGCCAACGGCAGTTCCAGACAAGGACTCCAGAAACTTAGTCCTAACCCACCAGCTCATCTGGCCATCTTCCTCTCAGCAGTGGGTCTAAGTGGGCTGTGAGCATGGAAACCAAAGGCTATAAAAAAGGTGCCCTCTCTTCGTCAAAACACGCAGGCAGAGAGGAAGAAACATCAATCCTGGGAAACATGGGGGCCTGCAAATTCATCACCTGGGGTGCCTGAAGAAATCAAGGGACTCAGAGCACGGAGGTCACACCAGCCCAAGGCAACACAGTGCCCAGAGGCAGGCAGGACTGTTGTGGAGATTAACTGAGATGATGGATCATACCGTTTGAAGCAAGATAGAAATGCTTGCTTGGCAGTCAGTACTGCCAAGAACTCGCCCCTGCTTTACAGCCCCGTCTGTTGCCCATCTCCACTTTTGCAGAGGGAATTCAGTGCGAGGCTTTCACACACACTGTGGCATCCCACAGGCTTGGTGCTTCATACATATTTCTGAATACATGAATGAATGAATGACACTTTTGCCTGTCATTTCTGTAATCATTTTATTCACCAGCTATCCCAATTTGCCCACAACTGAGGCTAAAATCTGAACAGAAATGAGTCAGACATGTGACAAACCTGGCGAAGTCCAGGGGAGAAGGCGGTTCAAACTCACTATGGAAATTCAAATTGATGGCTCCGCCCCGCTCCGCCTTTAGCTCCACCCCTTCAGGCCGTCCCGCCCAGTGACACGCCCTCGGTCCCTGAAGGTCACCTTAAGAATTCAGAAGGTTAGAGCTGGGCGTGGTGGCGCATGCCTGTAATCCCAATACTCGGGAGGCTAAAGCAGGAAGATCACTGCGAGTTCGAGATCAGCCTGGGCTACAAAGTGAGCTCAAGGCCAGCCCAAACTGCACGGCGAGACCCTGTCTCAAAAAGCACAAAAAAAACCAGGAGGCCAAACAGGCAAGCGCCATATCGGCACGCATTGCGCACGCTCGGTTTGACTAGCTCCGCCTTCTCTCCGCCCGCCCGCCCAACCGGAAGCCACCTCCCACTCTATGGTCCTATGTGAATAGCGGGTCCTCCGGCGGGGCATCTGGCTCGGCGCCGCGGTGTTCGCCGGGAAGTGGGCCTAGAGCGACCTCAGAGTTAAGGGCTGGGCCTGACGTCAGTAGCCAAGATGGCGGCGGTGGCCGGGGTCTCCTTGAGGCGGCGGTTCCCGGCCACAGTCCTGGGCGGAGCCTGCCTGCAGGTTGGTCGCGGAGCGGGTATTAGGGGACCGGAAAGCTAGGGACGCCGCCTGGTTGGGGCCGGGGAGGGAGGGAGCTAGGGCAAGGTCTCAGGACGAGGTAGGACATCTTCCCACCTGTGCAGTGCTTTGATTTTGCCTTGGAGCATCCCTGTCAGTTATCCCGCGCCTCATCGCAGCCTGTTAGGTTGCAGTCGATCTTTTAGAGATAAGGAAAAAAGAAAAGAGATTCATAGAGGGGAATTGCCCAAGGTCTCATGGCAAGAGAGGGATAGTTGTAATCAGAATTCAAGCCCAGATATTTGGACCTCAAACCCCTTTTTTGACAGCCGACTGTAGCTGAGCGTGCGGATGTCGGGGATGGGAACTGGGCAGCGGGCTCGCGCCACCCGGGTACAGAGTTGAGGACCAGACCGAGGCTGGAAGGGAAGGAAAGGTGAATTGTGGAGGGGAAGACACCCGCCCCTAAGGAGAGCCAAAGACGTGGGAACAAACCCAGCTCAGAAAAGGTCCCAGCTCTCCGGGGACTTTCGGGGAGCACCGGGTCTCTCAAAGCAGAGTCACCCACAGTTACGCGGGTATTTATCCTCCTCCAAGGGCATTTAATAATAACTGACCTCAGAGTTGGCATGCGATGACATCGGTTCAGGGCTTGGCGCAGTTCTTATTTACACTACCACCAGTGGTAGGTTTCCCCACATCCTGTATCTTCAGGAAACAGCGCACTTCTAGGCTGCGTTCACAGTGGGAATGTTTAGGAGAAGGGACAGCACCCACTGTTTGCATAAGGGATTAAGTATGTACAAATCCATCAGTCTGTTCCCTGGACCCGGGTTCCAGGCGACACATTTAAGGTGAGTAACAAGAACATTACCTTCTTTGGAGATTTGAAAACTGAGGCTCCAAAGAGAGTATTTTGTATTTTGAAACACAGTCTAGCGATATTTATTTCCCAGGCTGGAAATCCTCTTACCTCAGCTTCCTCAATAGTTGAGATTATAGGCATGTACCACTGTACCAACTGTAGTGCACTTTTTTAATATAATGCCTAGGGCTGGGGATTTAGCTCAACAGCATAAGCACCTGCCTTGCAAGCGGGCAGTTGTGAGTTTGATCCCCAGTACCAATTTAAAAACACACACACACACACAAACAAAAAACATAATCCTGAAAAACTCCTTAGCACAGATCTTGAAATATGATCGAATAAGAGAAATACCAGTTCCTCTGGCCCTGTGGCATTTGCATAAGGATGGCTCTTTAGTACCTGCAATGGCTGCTGCTAACTGTATTGTGCATATTTTCTGTGCTGTAATCTTTATTTTTGTACTGAGAATTGAACTCAGGGCCTCGTGCTTGCCGGCAAATGCTGTGTCACCGAGCTGTAGCCCCAACCCTTTAATCCTAACCCTCCAACCTGTTTCTGAAGGACTCTGCATCTCTTCCTGAAAAGAATGTTTAGGGAAAGAGCAAGGCCTACTAAACCCAATGCCCTCTGGGAGTTCAATTAATGATTGCTAATGGCCTTGTTTGCCAATTTTTTTTATAGGCTCTTTGGAGGAAGCAGTTAAGCTGAGAGTTGTAAGGTGTGAAGTCTGAAGTTCAGGTCCCTCTGCCAAGAAGGAACTTCACAGGAAAAGGCTGCCTTATAGGCCAGTGTTGTTTCAGGCAAGGCCTTTGCATGACCTGAGGTTAAGAGAAATTGAAGGACCACCCCTTACCCCCCCCACACACACATTGCAAGACTGCATTTCAAAAGAATCCAATAGTGAATCAGGTGTCATGGTGTAATGCCAGCACTCGAGAGACTGAGGCAGGAGGATTGCAAATTCAAGCCCAGCCTGGGCAATTGAGTGACTTAGCAAGTAAAAAAAAATGTTTAAAGTCTAGGGATGTAGCTCAGTGCTGAGGTCTTGGGTCTAACCTAGTATTCAAAACAAAACAAAAAAATCCGTGACTCAATATGTCCCTGTGGGTAATACTCACGTTTGGGCTTTGAATCTCTTCTGTGCATATCATCTGTATCACTGGACGACAGTTCTGTCTGTAACTATTTAATATATTAAATGTCATTAGTGCTACCTTATTTCTTCATTGAGACTGTGAACTCCTGTAGGACAAGAATCACCTGTTTAAACTTGTGTGGCTCTTTGCTCTTAGGACTTGTAGGGCTTGGGATACCTGTCAGCCAGGCGGAACAGTACAGACTGAAAATGTTGCCTGCCAGTATTGGAAAACAGAAACTCTCCTGAGCTGTGCGAGGAGGCTACCCCTGCTGTGTTACACACGATTATCCTCCGACAGACCTCCTTGCTGTCTCCTCTCCCTTTCCCCTCCTTCCTCTCCTGCCTTCACATTGTCGTCTGCCTCACCTAGCACAGAGCCTGCTTCCTAAGGAAGCTTCCCTAGAGGAGTACAGCCAGGGTTGGGTATGACCCAGAATTCATCCTGCTCAGTCTGCGTCAGTCCAGCTCTTGATTTTGTTGCTTAAATTATTAGCTACGAAGTTTTCCTAGAAATCTACTTCTGCCATGAATACTCATTAGTCTTATTCATGAAGTAGAAGTGCTTTTGAATGGTTCTTCTCCACTCTGGAGTTATAGTACGGATTGCTGGGCAGGTAACAAGGGAAACCTCACAATTGGCCACCTCTCTGTCTCTGCCCACATGTTCTCCTTTTCCTCCCGTTGTGGGAAAACTAGCAGGATCCCTTCAGCCAGCTCTTCACAAATGTCTAGGCGGCACACTCCTGTAATCCCAGCCCTGGGGAAACTGAAGCAGGAGGGTTACAGTGAGTTTAAGGTCAGCCTGCACTACAAAGGGAGACCCTGTCTCAAAAGAAAAAGGGGCTGGGGATTTAGCTCACCGGCATAAGTGCCTGCCTTGCAAGCAGGCAGTTGTGAGTTCTATCCCTGTACTGATAAAAACGAAAAAGACCAAAAAAAAAAAAAAAAAAAAAAAACCACCAAAGCCATCCAAATGCCATGCTTTCTTGCTTATTAAGATGTATCCATCCAGTAACCTTCTCCCTTATGCAATAGTCCTTGTCTAACAGTTAACCTCAGTATACAAGTATGCTATCATTTCTTACATCTTTAAAAGAAACATATATCCTGCCCGGCTTGTTTCTCTGTTCATCTCTATAGGAGATAGGCTAGGAGACAGGCAAAGTTCTCAAATGAGATATTTACATTCACCATTACCTTGTTCGTTGGTTAGTTTGATTTGGTTTTTTGAGACAGAGCTCGCTACATAATTCAAGTTAACCTCAAACTCCCTGTATAGCTCAGGCTGGCCTCAGACTTGCAGTGATCCTCCTACCTCAGCCTCCCAAGTGCTAGGATTACATGTCTGCCTTCAGTTTTTTCCTAGAACCTGCCACCGTCACCACATCATGAAATTGCTTGTGTTCAGGTCACTAGCGACCTTGCCACATTAGATCCAGTGGTCACCTCTGTTTCATGATTGTTTTCTCTAAAGCATTTGGCTCTATCATTCACTCCCTCCTCAAAAAATGCTTTCATCTGGAACATCCCTGTCTCAGTTTTTGTCGTCACTTGATGGTTCTTCCATTATCCCAGCCTCTGAACACAAAACTCAGTCCTCAGACCTCTTCTTCCTTTGGGCTTTTTAGATACTGTCTTCCTGTGTTTAGTGGTCACTCCCAAGTTCATTTCTCCAGCCCAGGCCTGACTTAAGATTCCTGGATCCAGAGCCAGGCGTGGTGTGCACTCCTGTACTCCCAGCACTTGGGAGGCTGAGGCAAGAGGATCTTTGAGTTCAGGACCAGTCTAGGCTATGAAATGAGCTCAAGAGAGCCTGAGCCTGAGCATAGCAAGACTCTGTCTCAAAAAAAGAAAGCAAACAAAATTTTTTTAAATGCCTGGCCATGGTGGCACATGCCTGTAGTCTGAGCACTTGAGAGACTGAGGCAGAAGGATCACTGAGTTCAAGGCCAGCCTGAGCTGCATAGTGAGACCCTGTCTCAAAAACCATAAACAGTTCACACATACGTGAATGCATGCTCTGGGTTAAATCTACAGTATGGGAAAGGATCTTTCTTGGTTATTTGTATTTTGAGAGAGGGTCTGCTGAATGGTCCAAACCAGCCTTGAATTCATTATGTAGTTGATACTGGCCTTAACCAGCAATTCTCCTGCCTCAACCTTTGAGCACTGGGATTACAGGCATACACCACCACACCTGGCCTCTAGTTGCTTTGACTTCAATATCTTTTCTCCTTATTCTGATATCTCCCCCCAACACACATACCTTGTTATATAAAAAATATTATATATATATATATATATATGTATGTATATATATATATATATTATACATGTGTAATATTTTTTATAGAATATATTTTTAACTTGAAGTAAATGTAACTTAATTGATTTTTTTGTGGAGGAGTAACACTTTGGGATTCATCACCTTAAGACATTCAGTTGTGGCGATCCTTCATTGCTTTTGTTTTATACTATTCATTCATGTGACAGGGCTTTTCTTTTTTTTTTAATGTACCAGGGATCAAACTCACAACCTCACACTTACCAGGCAAGTGCTTGAGCCACTGAGCTAAATTCTCACCCCCATATGACAAGACTTTTAAAAATTATTAATGTAAACCCCCTTTGAAAAAATGCCTAGCAGGTGTCTTTATAGAATGGACATGAAACAGATACTTAAGTATTAGAAATTGAAGTGAAGATCCATTGTAGGTGACCATTATAGACAGAAAGACTGGGCCTTTGAGGGAGTCAGTACAAAAGATAAAAACACTACAACTGTGGCCAGCAGTGCATCTGTCAGGGGCCAGGCCTCAAGGTAAAGACAAAATGACTAGACTTCCATGTCTCCCCAAGGGATGAGCAGTAAGTGGTATCCATTAAAGTCTAGATAAACATCCATCACTGAGGTAGGGGACCAAGACCTCCTGACCCATCCCATCCAAAAAGGATTCTTGTTCTTTCCATGTACACCTGCTATGTAACCTGCTCCCCTGTTAGAAGCAACTATACTTACCACCTTATTGGTTAATCATAGTTTTGACCCACAATCTACTCATGGTTTTGTACCCACCCATGATTTTGCTCAGTAAAACTTCCTTTGAGAAGTAGGCTCATTGGGGCTGGGGATTTAGCTGAGCAGCATAAGCGCCTGCCTTGCTAACAGGCAGTCATGAGTTTGATCCCCGGTACCAATAAAAAGGAAAAAGACCAAAAAGAAGTAGGCTCATTGGCTCACTTTTGGGTCCTCTCCCGTCTCTGAGGAGCTATTTCTCTCAATAAAATTTTCCTACATTTTACCTACATTGTTCCTTAAAATTGGTTCTTTGATTTTGGAATAGTTTCCCCTGCTTTTTTCCAGGTTCCTGTCACATGGGGCATTGTTTTCTATCCTTTGATTTTCAGTCTGTGAATTTCTTCTTCAATTAAACGTTTCTTGTATGGCAGCATATTGTTGAATATTGCTTCCTGATCCATTCTGCCAGTCTGGGGTTTCTTTCATTGGTGAATTGAGACCATAAACATTAATGGTTATAACTGTCATGTACTGACATATCCTTGTCATGTTATTTTCCTGTTATTAGTTCCCTTCCCTCTGTCCCTCTGTTGTTTGTCTTGCGTAGTAGATTCATTCTTTCTGTTGGGGTTCATGGGGTCATGGTCCTTGTTACCTCTTTCTAGAACATCCTTGAGAACATTCTGAAGTGCTGGTTTGGTGTTCATGAGTTTCTTTGCGTGTTTTTTGAGTGGACATATCTTTTTCTTCAATTTTGAAAGATAGTTTTATAGGGTACATCAGTCTGGATTGGAGGTTGTTTTTGTTTAGGCCTTGAGATACTTCACTCCAAGCTCTCCTTGACTTGAGGGTTTGTACTGAGAAGTCAACTGTGATTTTGATGAACTT